TACTAACAAGTAGTGCGGGGTGATAGCACCAATTTACTTCCCAAACCTACCAGATTTGGTGGGGAAGGAGTCAGAATCTGAAACTTGGGATGGAAACAATTGGTATCTACTACTCTGTCCTATAGTTTGCAGATCTGTTCCTTTGTATCATCTAATCTACTGTTTATTTCTTATAGTGTAATTTTCATTTCAGTTATTATATTCTTCAGCTCTGTTAGGTTCTGCATTGTATTTTCTCAGTTTTTGTTGAAATTGTCATTGTGTTCATCCATTCATCTCCAGAGTTTGTTGAGCATCTTGAAGATCATTTCCTTGAACTATTTATAAATTGCTTGTCTCCCTATGTTTAGTTCTTTATGAGCTATACGTCTAGATTTCTAGATCTATATGTCTGTTTTTTTGTGCCAGTACCACCCAGTTTTGATTACCGTAGCATTGTACTATTGTCTGAAGTCTGGAAGGATTATGTCTCCAACTATGTTCTTTTTCCTCAGGATTGGTCTGGCAGTTTTGGATCTTTTGCAATTCCATATAAATTTTAGAATTATTTGTTCAGGTTCTGTGAAAAATGTCCCGGGTAATTTGATAGTGATTGTATTTAATCTGTATATTTCTTTGGGTAGTATGGCCATTTTACCAATATTAATTCTTCCAACCCAAGAGCATAGGATATCTTTCAATTTCCTTAAATCATCTTCGTTTTCCTTTATCAATGCTTTATAGTTCTCAGCATATAAGTCTTTCACCTCTTTGATTAGATTTATTCCTAGATATTTTTTCAATTCAATTTTAAGTGGGATTTTTTTTCTTTCTGATATTTCATTGTTAGTATAGAGAAATGCAACAGACTTACGTATATTAATTTGTTTTGTTTTGTTTGTTTGTTTGATGAGGGGGAGGTAATTAGGTTTATTTATTTATTTCTATTTGGAAGAGGTGCTAGGGGTTGAACCCAGGACCTCGTGCATGCTAAGCATGCACTCTGCCTCTTGAGCTATACCCTACATGCTGTATATTAATCTTGTATCCTGCTACCTTGCTGAATTCATTTATCAACTCTAGTAGTTTTTGTGTTGAGTCTCTAGGGTTTTCTATATAGAGTATCATATCATCAGCATATAATGACAATTTTACCTCTTCCCTTCCGATTTGGATGCCTTTTATTTCTTGTCTGATTGCTGTGTCTAAGACTTCCAATAGTATGTTGAATGGAAGTGGTGAGGTGGGCATCCTTGTCTCATTCCAGAATTTAGCTGAAAAGCTTTCAGCTTTTCACTTTTGAGTATTATATTGGCTGTGGGTGTGTCATAAATGGCTTTTATTATGTTGAGATATGTTTCCTTTATACCCACTTTGGTGAGACTTTTTATCATGAATGGATGTTGAATTTTATCAAATGCTTTTTCTGCATCTATTGAGATGATCATGTACTTAATTCCTTGGCCAGATGGGACCACCAGGTCTTTCTCTGAAGACAGGCAAAACCATGCGCTGTGCTCTCTGTTCAAGTGCACTGTAAGCAAGGTTGTTGGATGGGCTTCACAGCTTCCTGTGTGCTCTGGTTAGGTTCCCTGGTTGGGCTTTCTGAAGGCTATATTTAGCAGTGGGCCGGGCTATGAATTAGTCTTCTTGGCAGGTGGTTTGGGGGAACCAGCTCAGCTCATGGTTTGTGGCCTTGACTCAAGGCAACTCGCACTCCCAAGTTTCCTAGTCAAACTGTGCCATGGGCTTTGCTCTGTGAACAGTCAACTCTGCCTGCCATATTCTCTGCTCAGATGTCGCTGCCCTGTGCAGACCTGCACCCCATTGACTTCCCTGGTCAGGCTGCTTCACTGTCCTGCTCTGCAGGTGAGCAAAGCTGCTAGTTGGGACTACTACTAAGGTGCTACAGGTGGGAACTTGCCAAGATCCAAACCCTGGTTACTGCAGACCCCTCCTGCCTCCTCTGTCATGATCAGATTCCCAGTGATCAAATCCCACTCATCCTTTGTCATCCTCATGAGGCAAGACCAGAGTCGGGACTCCCAGAAGTAACCCACAGTGCTGGGGGAGTGGATGTCTACCCCGGGCTGTCTTTTCCCACTCAAGGGACCATAGGCTCTGGGAAGACCTCTCTGTGTGGTGCTTCACCAGCCTTGAGGAGGAGCAATGCAGTCAGTGTACAGCTTCTCTTCCTAACCTTCTAATGAGGTCTGTCTTGGTCTCTGTGGTGCAGGGGTGCTTCAGCCTCACCTCTGTGTTCCAGGATTTTCTCAGTGGTGTCTTATCCATGAATAGTTGCTAGTTGTTCTTCTTGTGAGGGGGAGTGAAGTTTGGAAAAACCTATATTGCCATCTTGGTGACATCACTCTTGTTGCAATTTAATTCTTATTATGGACCTGAGACAGTGAGGGGTAGTGAGACAGCTACCCCAGGTGTTGTCACTAAAAGTGTCACTTTTTAAAATGTAGGGGCTCTTTCATTGTTTAGAGGGAGGCTTACTCTACTGGCAAGGCAAGTCCATGTCACTTCAGTTGTTCCCATCCCAAGTTTCAGATTCTGACTCCTTCCCCACGAAATCTGGTAGGTTTGAGAATTAAATTGGTGCTATCACCCCGCACTACTTGTTAGTAGTTGGTAGTTGAATGTTAGGCATTCACTTGCTAAATCATGGCAAAGCTAGACACAGGCTCAATATGTTTATATCTCAGTAAAATTTCATAAGTAGAGTTTCAGCTTCTTACTTGTCCAAGGAACTGTATTTCCATATTCTTAAGTATTCAGTCAAACAATAAAATGTTCATATTTAGAAAAAATATTATTCTTACCACTCTTCACTGAGTTGTCTTTTATTTGAATTTTCTTTGTTGTTAATGTAGTATCCCAAGGAGATAACTTTAGAGGCGTTTTCAACTATTGTCACCCAGATGCTGGGACTCAGTCTGGGGATATCATATGATGACCCAAAGAAATGTCAATGCTCAGCGGCCACCTGCATAATGAATCCAAAAGCTATGTAAGTTTTTAAAACATTAGATATGTTTATTGGTTATGTTCATTTTGTTTTAAATAGTTGAAGGGAAAAATTTTAGTATTTGCTTATAGCACAAATCATCTATAAATGGACCATGTATTAAAAAATATAAATATGAAATTTTAAGGGTCAAAGGAGTATGGATTGAGGTTACCATTAAGAACAAAGATTAAAGAAAAGAAGATAAATCCAAGCTGCAAGATACATTACCAAAATGATTCTCCTTAGGCTATGTATTGTCTGAAATCATTTAGTAAAGATATTTAAAAATACGTCAGCAGGCCAAAACAAGTGGCTTTTGTTTTTAGACAGAATTTTCGGTTCTGCTTTTAGTAAATTAAGTGGGAAAACTACAATCTAAAGAATATACTATTTGTGTGACTTCGGATAAATGACTAGAACTTGCTTGCTTAGATTTATTTTTCTTATCTTTAAAATGGGAATGATCATGCCTATTCTCTTATGCTAAGTGTGACCTAATCCTAATTAAACAATCAGAAATCAAAAATGAAAACAAGCCGTTAATTTTTTAAAGCATCCTCTTTTTATAGTTACTCCTAAGCACCACCTAAGGCTAACTAAAAATAGCTCAAACTCAAACATATGTATTTATATATACACATATTACATTACAAATTAGTTCTACATGGATTATATATAAAAACAATATATTTTATACATATAAAATATTACATAATTTTGTTAAATATGTAATAAATTAAAATATTATAAAATTATTTATTAAATCAAATATAAAATTTATATAGATATATAAAAATATGAGAATTACCATTCTGGGCCTGTTGTCCATTTGGCCAACTATTCTCAAGTATGCTATGACAAGGTGTTTTGTGT